TCAATTATCATATGGTTTCACTTATTTGTGGAACATAAGGAATAGCATGGAGGACATTACGAGAAGGAAGGGAAAAATGAAGGGGGGGAAATCGGAGGGGGAGACGAACCATGAGAGACTATGGACTCTGAGAAACAAACTGAGGGTTCTAGAGGGGAAGGGGGGTGGGGGGATGAGTTAGCCTGGTGATGGGTATTAAAGAGGGCACATGCTGCATGGAGCACTGGGTATTATATGAAAACAATGAATCAAAAACTAATGATGAATTGTTTGGTGACTAACATAATAAAATTTTAAAATTTTTAAAAAAATTATCAATTGTTAATTGGAAAAAAAAAAAAGACATAGGTGTGGAAAGCTATTTGGAGTGCCAGTTTTGAAGAAAACGGTTTCCTCATCTGTAAAATGGAGACTGATGCTAGTGTTGCCCTTATGATGCCCTGAGAGGGTGCGAATCAAGCTCCTCTCACGAAATACGATTTCAAAAAACAGCTAGATGCCAAATGCCTGGCCATATATAGGCACCAGCACTGCACAGATCAGAACATCTCAAAATCATCAGGCTGGAATGAATCCTCAGAAACACCCTGAACTCACCACCCACTTGGTACTTGAGCATCTCAAAATCCCAAAATTTCGTTACCTGCCTCCAGCACAGTTTGCGCGCTGAGCTCTGACAGAGGCTCTCAGCAAAGGTTTCCTGAACTGCTTCAAGTGGGCCTGGAGGAAAGAGAAGGAATGGTTCAAACAAAGAGAAGAGCCAGTAGGAGTAGGAGAAAAGGTGGGGTGGACTTAAAGCACTCCAGAGGGGCAGAGCCTGGGTCTCAGCCCAGCAGGACAGGGGAAGACAAGCGTGGAAAAAAAGGCCAAGACCAGTTGAGGTCACAAGGTGACCTCCAGGTGACCTGTGCTGACGCTGACCAGGTGAGACCTAAGAAATATTTCTCCGAAAAAAAAGTAAGCAAGGGCTGCTACAAAGCATACATTCCATTATGAAGGTGGAGAACTTAATTTCTCAGACTAAAAGATCAGCATTCCCTGAGGACAATAGGCAGATGTTTGCTTTAAATTTACATAAGTGAAAGTGATGATTGTGCCAGAACAATGAGTCAATCTGCCCTAAAAGTAAATCCAAATGTCTTCTTTCCCAAGTCCACAGGTCCTCCTGTTCTCTAGGGGCATCAGCCCAACACAAGGAAACACGAGCCCAGAGTAGCCAGATTTCATGTTTTTAAAATCTGGATTTCAATTAGGTGAAATCTCCCAAACTTTAAGTATTGGCTTAAATTTCTTTAAATACTGTGTAGGTCAAACCAAACCTATCTCCCTGCAGTCTCCACCCCAGGACCACCAGTATAAAAACCCCGCCATTAGCCACAGCCCACAGGAGGTCAAATAAAGCTTTCTGGGGCAGGCAGGGTAGCCTCATACCCAATATTATTTGGAAGATTTGTCTGGCAATGTGTCGTAGAATACAGGGAAGAAACTAACTGCAGGGTGTGTAGGGACTGCTTTTAGGCAGGAGGCTTGAGCAATGGAATGTAGAAAGGGCCCGCAGCGACCCCCTGGTTGAATACAAACAGGCCCTCAGGTGACCCACCTCAAAATATCCATTGGCCTGGGGCACCTGGATGACTCAGTCGGTTAAGCGTCTGACTCGTGGGTCATGAGATGCGGCCCCACGTCGGGCTCTGCACTCAGTGAGAAGTCTGCTTGGGGATTCTCTCCCTCTGCTCCCACCCCCACTATCCCCCCCACCCTGCCCCACTCACTCTTTCAATCTCTCTAATAAATAAATAAATCTTTAAAAATATATATATCCATCAGCCCTAACCAACCAATGGGCTATTTACAATTAGGCAGAGTTACCAAAAATGGGAGAATTCCATACAGCACCATACCTCCTCATCTCCCCACTTTAAAAACAGCCTCCACCCACTGCCTCATTGCTGACAGTCTCTCTCCTCTGCTCTCCTGGCTGCCCCAACCCCCCGTGGTGTATGCAATAAACTTCTATCTCCTTTGTTCTGCCTCAGGTGAATTCTTGCACCACTGGCTTTGACCCAATCATCACCCCACATTTGGGGGCCCTCATTTGTTGGGGAGAGACACCCCACGTAGACACCACAGGACCTACATAAGAGCTGACAGGGATGTGAACCAAGGCAATGGCAGAGGTAATAGAGAGTGATTCAAAAAATGTATGAAAGGCAAAAATAACAGTGCTGATGGCCAGGAGAGGGTCCCTGGGATACCAGACACAAACCTGACCCATTGCAAACTTTGATAAGGAAGGGGAGTCTTTAGGACCAGAGGGAAACAGGCTTAAAAGTGTGCTCTTTGACCTCTGAGAACAGGGAAATCTTCATGGACTTGTGACCTATGTTGTCACACAGGACCCCATGCTCAGAAATGCTCCATGCTTGGTTTAATGCTCTGCTGTCATCATTCTGAGATTCTTAATTTAACTTTGAACTTGTGGTTTGTTAAGTGAGGTCTAATGGGGAAACGGAGCATGCGTGTGAGCAGAGGAGATCCTGTTTAGTATGTGTGGCCACCATTCTTACAGTGTTTGCCATGACCCAAGAGCACAGAATTTCTGTGGATTCATGATGCATGGGAGTCCAGCAAGATTAGTTCAAGGTAAGTGTGTTACAAAGACAACTAAGTGAGTAGGTGGGTGGGTGCTGACAGCTCCCAGAAGCCATGCTTTCCATTCAAAGAAACCACAACTCACTTTGCATATGTAGAAACAAAGCAATGTCTTTCTAAGAAACACAAACAACCAAGGAACCCTATCATATCCTCTTACTCCTATTACTTCCCTGTATTAGCTGACCATGTACAGTGAAAATAATGGCACAGAAAGAAAAGGAAAGATAGGGCAACCCATGGTTCTTTTTCTTTTCAGTCCTTCCTTAAAGCCAGCCCTTCCTTCTGTAAGACAAAGATTAATAGAATGCAGGTATCAAGAAGTGAATAAAAGTAGTTAGTTTTGGGCAGTGTTTTCACGTTCTGGTAAGAACAATACACATATGCACATACAAATTACAAAATACGAAGTGTGTGATTTCAGTAATTCTGCAGATGTGTCAAATGCTCTTATGTTCGCATTTAACACTGGCCTTGCACAGCATATAAACAGTACAAATCATGCTAATTACTTAAATTTTTAATTTCTCTTCACTGAGAACGATATTAAAGAGCAAACATGAGGACAAGTCAAGGGAGAGAGTGTAGAAGGAAAAACTTTTTATGTTAGTACCTTTAACATTGCTTTTTTCCTGCTTTTTGAACAAGGGGCCACACATTTTCATTTTACACAGGGCTCTACAAATTATGTGGCCAGCCCACTGAGAACCACTGAAGTCAAGAATATCATGACTATCTAAAATGCTACACATGGGGCAGCTGGGTGGCACAGTCGGTGGAGCGTCCAATTCTTGGTTTCAGCTCAGGTCATTGGCTCAACGTAGTGAGACCAAGCCCTGTGACAGGCTCCACGCTGGGTGTGGGGCCTGGTTGGGATTCTCTCTTACCTCTCCCTCTGCCCCTCTAGTCCCCCACCCCCGCCCACCATTGCTCATGCACTCTCTCCCTCAAATAAGTAAATAAAATCTTAAAAAAAAATAAAATACTACACACACCTGGATAAGTTCCTCCTGATGTCTTTCAAAGCAACCCCCAAAAGGCCCACTGATGGATTGATGGGGGTGCTTTTTTAGTTCCATGCTCGTAATTACTGAATCACTTTAGTCCTTTTCCCCCAGGCCCCTCAAGTCATTACAACAACACATCTGAAATAGTGCAAGCCGATGTCATTCCAACTAAAGATGGCTCTAGAGACAATCAGTTAAACTGAAGACTGCACAAGACCTTACCCGGAGTAGCATCTAAGGCAGAGACCTCCCTGCTGGACATCTCCCTTTTTTATAGAGTGCTTCTTCCCCCGAGCTTTGGCAGTGCAGTTTTAACCAAACTCAAGCTGTTTCTCACCACTCAGAGTGCTCGGGTTTCCCCTGGGAAGTGGTTCTGTGAACCACTAAGTCTGGCTGTCTAAAAAGGCCTCCATCAAATACAGTCAAGTTTTCCTTTGTCTCAGTTCATTCTCCTCTTCTGTTTTGTACCACTTTCCACTTCGATAAATTAATTTCCTGCCTAGAGACACATCCCGGCAAATGTGTCAGTTTGTATTGTTTAGATGAGAGACTTCTGTCATTCTTTCAAATTTTTCCTCTGCACCAATAATCCTGATAGCCAGCCTCTCAGGAGCCTGAGTGGCTTGTCTATGAATTTCCTTTCACTGCCTCCTATTCGACTGAAAAAATGCAGACTGCCTGCGGTGAACTTACTCACTCTTAACCCTTCCGATCACATCTGTTTCTATTTCCCCATCCTTTCTTCTAGCCCATCTGAAGAAGGGCTCTTACGGAGTTCCGGGCTAATGGGCCACTCTCCACCTGATTGTTCATGCTGCTTTCACATCACCCCCCCCACCTGTGCCTGCTTCACACCTATCTATCGCAGCATGCTTCTCCTGGGTTGAGTCCTTGAAAGGCTGGGCTACAGGGCCACCTGTAGTGCATCCCCTCCCTTGCAATCCTCAGTTTTTTGCACTCTGAATTGCATAAACTGTGCTCTCCAAGGTCATGAATGACCTGGCGGCTGGACCAGGGGCAGTTTCTCAGACCCATCCTTCTAACGGGTCTGTTGCGCTGGTTGGCAAGCACAGTCCACGTGTGTTGGTCTGCCTCTTCCCTTTGCTACCACCATCTTCCCCTTCTCGGGTCGCTCCTGCTCTTCCTCCTCTAATAAATTTCTTTAGCCTCATCATGTCTAAATGTCAAGAGTTCCCTGAAGGTTGTATATTTGTTTCTCTTTTTATTCTGCATCTTCTTCAAAAGAGGTGGAGGGGATTAAGAGATACAAACCTCCAGGGGTAAAATAAGTCACAGAGATTAGAATCACAGCAAAGGGAATGTGGTCAACAATATTGTAATAACACTGTTTGGTGACAGATGGTAACTACACCTATTGTGTTGAGCACTGCAGAATGGACAGAATTGCTACAGCGTGCCCCTGAAAATAATATAATGTTGTATGTCAACTATCTTTCAATAAAAAATTGAATAAAACTAATAAAATTGGTAATATTTGATATATTGTACACAGCATAACAAACAGCAAATAACTAAATTTTCAATTTTGCTTTTTTAGTTTCTAAAGTATCTTATGGTTTGCTGTGTTTCTGCAGATTATGGGCATTTCTCTAAGATTTCCAAAAGTAAATCAAATGAAAGATTAAGCTGTACTCATTACTTATCCATAACAGAGGACATCTTTTCTTGATATTAAAAACTTTCATGGCCTACAAATAACTGATCAACATTAGATTCAAATCAACTTCAGCATGCCATGTTCTGTCATGTTTCCTTGCCCCATATTTTCTAGTCTTTTAAAAATATTTGATTGTAAATATGTTAATATACATAATGTGTAAAAAAAAAAAAAAAAAAAAGAGTTCCCTGAAGGCTCTATACTTGCTTCTCTTTTTATTCGACATCTTCTTTACTGAGTTCATCTATCTTACTCGTTATATAAAAGCTCCATGGAAATCATCCATCAATCTAGGATTTTGCCTAAACTCTAAACATAAATTTCAAATGTTTTTTTAAAGATTTTATTTATTTATTTGACAGAGAGTGGGAGAGGGAATGAGA